GCTCTTTGACCTCCCCACCCCCCATTGGAGGAGCAGTCCTGTTAGGCCACAGAGGAGGACTTTGCAGCCAGTCCTGAAGATATCTGATAAAACAGGCGGGAGGAGGTCCCCCCCATCAGTGGACTTGGAAAGAGGCAGGGAGAAGCTGAGGGAGGAAGGGTGGGATTGGGAGGGAATGAAGGAACAGGATACAGCAGGGAAACAGAGTTAATAAAATGTAAATGATAAGAAAAAAATAAAATTAAAAAAGAAGGTATGCTAGTTACAATTTTCGTTTCTTTGATAAATACCAAAAAAAAAAAAACCCAAAAACAAACAAACAAACAAAGCAAATAAGAGTGAGAAAAGATTTATTTGTGCTCATGATTTTAGAAATTTCAGGGCATGGCCAGATAGCTCTATTATTCCAAGGTACATTATAAGCAGGACATTGATGCTGAAGAGTGGCAAAACAAAAGTGTCCCCTTTGTGCAAACCAGGAACCAGAGAGAGACAGAGGAAGAAGCTGGTAACAGCATTTACCTTTCCAGGGCATGGTCTCGATGACCTACTTCCTTCAACTAGGTTCTACATCCTAAAATTTCTACAACCTTCCAAAATAGTATCACCAGCTGGGGACAAGACTTTAATACATGAGACTGTAAAGGATATTTCATTTCCAAGCCAGAATAGAAGGCTAAAAATATGGAAGATAATATTCTTTAAAAATGGTTTTCTGAGGAGACGGTCTTGAACTTCTGATCTTCCTGTCACCACTTCTGAAGTGTTTGGATCATAGGTGTTTGCATGCCAGCTTCCTGTGCTAAGCAAGCACTCCACCAAATGAGCCATATCCTCAACCAAAAGTAATTTAAGTGACATCAAGTAGTATTACAAGGGCTGGGGACACAGATTAGCAGTTAAAAGCACTTTTGGACTTACAGATTCAAAACCAACCCTGACTCCAATTACAAGAGATCTGATGACCCTTCTGTAAGCTTAGATTTTTCACAAAACCTACTTTATTAAGGGTTCTTATGCACCTTTACTTCCCTTCCAATCGCCTTTCCCCTGCAACCTTAGGTAGATTAATAGGGCTGTGGTTATCTTTTATCTACATCCTGCTAATCAGAGTCAATGGGTCGTTAGGGGATTACCAGACTCAATCGTCAGGATACCAACAGTCCAGTCTAAAGGCTAACACAAAGTAGCAACATGAAGTCAGCGAAAGCTGCAAAACCAAGGTGGATTGCCTAGAGAAGCTCTCTGGAATGTCTGTGAAGTCAAATGTCAAAGTCCGAAGATCAGGGCAGTGGTATTTATCTATCTTGTGCATGGATCTTTATATATATATCTCCTCAAAGTCAGTCCATGGATGTTTTCAGCTGGCCAAAGTCACGCCTCTAGAATGTAAGAGCTCACAGCAAAATGTCACTTGCCCTCTCACAAGCCAACCTGGGCAACCATCACATACCCAGCTTGTAGCAAAACATCACATGACAAGATTCAGTCTTCAAAGAAACCAGAAATTTCCACTTCACTCTTCTGACCTCCTCGGGCACCAGCCACACAAATAGTGCACAGAACATACATGCAGGCTATGCTGGTTTGGATGAAATAGCCCCCACAGGCTCATAGACTGAATGTTTGGTTTCCCAGTTGGTAGGCTGGTTAGGAAGGATTAGGAGTTGTGGATGACGTGTTGTAGAAGGAGTATCACTGGGGGTGGGCTCTGAGGTTTCAAAGCTCACCCCAGACCTAGTCCCTTTCTCTCTGTCTCGTTTGTAGATTAAGATATGTTTACTCCAAAAGTAAAGTAAGCAGGCATGGTGTAGATACTATATCTTTTTCATGATATATTGTTCGGGAGTGTTAGTAAGGCACTTTATTTATCTAAGATTGTATTTTTACTTTTTAATTGTGTGTGTGTGTACATGAGCATGTGAGTGTGCATACTTATGGAGGCCAGAGAGGGCTTTGGATCCCTTGGGTCTGGAGTTACAGGCAGTTATGTAGTGAAGTGTGTGCTGGAGACTGAACTTGGGCCCTCTGAAAAAGCTGCAAGCACTCTTAACTGCTGAAGCATCTCTCCAGCCCAAGATGCCTGTGTGCCTGTGTGTGTGTGTGTGTGTGTGTGTGTGTGTGTGTGTGTGTGTGTGTGTGTGTGAAAATTCTTAGTCCAAGGTTGAATCCGCAAACACATAAAGCATGTTACAAAGGCCAGGAGGGCAGTCTGTACAGATCGGCCATTGATGATCATTAAGTAGCAGAACCTATTAACTGTCCAGGGAAGCAAGTTGGAAGGTATTGCTGACTTCAGTTTGCCATTCTATTGCCATTTAGTTTATTATTTCAGGATCAGCTCAGTTTTCGCAAAGCCTTACACACAGAACACCATCCTTGTCTGAGCTATGGTCCAGGGTTACCTCACATATAAGCACTGATGAACCAGCCTGCCTCCCCTTTTGGGCTTGAAAGCCTTCTTATAGTAAAGACAAACTGGGTTCATTCCTGTTTAAACCTGATGAACTCTCTGTTTCTCAAGGATTGGGCTAGGGCCCACCTGGAACCTTAACTATAAGTGGTTCAATACTGCCTGTTCTAGGAAATGGCAATTATATCTTTGTTTCAAAAAAGCTGTAATGACCATCTTGCAACCCTACCTTCGTTTCATAAGGTCGTTATGACTAGGTCGTTATGACTACCATGTTATGACCTTGTCACGGTCTCCTTCTGTAATCCCACCTATTTTGTCCAACAAATCCCCCACTTGGAAACCCTCTACCCCTTAGCTATAAAAACCTTGTCTTCTTCATGTCCAAGGCTGATCAACTTAACCTCAACTCGGGGAGGCAGGCCATGTACATGAATAAGAAAACTTCCTTACATAAGTCTGGTCATGATGATTTGGGGCAGTGGTCTTTCTCCTCAGATTTTTATTTACAGCACATACACTTCAGTCATGTATGTTCAAAAGCTCGTCTCCTCTCATTCTATTCTACAACTTTCTGGAGGTTTTACCCAGCTTTGTTGTTGTTTTTAGAGTCAGGGTGTCTCTGTGTAGGGTTGTCCTGGATCTGCTTTGTAGATCAGGCTGGCATTGAACTCAGAGTTTTGCCTGCCTCTGCCTCTCAAGTGCTGAAATTAAAGTGTGCACCCTTTGCCTGGCTTCTTACCCAGCTTTTGACTTAAAGTGTAATTTCTGTTATTCTTATTAATGGTCCATTAAGAGAAAAATGTTGCCTACTAGTCAAAAACCAGTGGAATCTACCTCTGAGATGGAGATATACCATTGTTTTGATTTTTAAACCTGAATCCAGCTGGGCCTGCCAATCACCTGGATTAGAAAGGCAGGTTGACATTAAGCTATGCTAAAGAGACAAGAGGAAAAAGCCACCCTTTAATGAAATAATGAACTTTCTCATCCCAAAATTCCTGGCCCCTAGAGCAGTAGTTTCAGATTCCTCATTATAGTCTCCATGATTCTTGACTCAGAAATACCCAACTTTCCCTTTTTCTTCTCTTTTTTTCTTTCGGATGCTGGCCTAATACTAGTTCTCTGGTAGGGCTTCTTTACTCTCTCTCTAAAGTTTCCGCCTGGCCATGTGGCTGCCGTTAACCATGTGGCTTGGCCTCTATTCTGTGTAACAAAAATGGCATGGTTTTTTTCTCTTCCAGTTCTCCAAGTTCCTCTAGGAAGCTGCCGAGATTTACAGCTTGCCTGCATTGGTTTTTAAAAATTGTTCTTTTAAACTCTAACAAATTTTCCCCCAGCTTCTTTTAAGAAGAGCTGCTTTTGAGAACTTTCTTAGATTATTTTATTAATGAGACTCAGAACCTCAAGAGGGACTCTGATTTCCCTAGTAACAGGTGGCAACTCCCATGGGACTCCCCAGAATTTCCGGCAACAGGCATGAGAGAAGACATAAAATATAATACTGAAACTCTAAAACCAGAATTGAGAATTTTTTTTCTTTTTCCTCCCCTTTTTGAGGCAGGGTTTTACACTGACTATAACCTAGGATAATTTTGAATTTGTAGTGACTCTAGGAGTATGGGTGTATGTCACCACGTCTGGATTCATTTTATTTCTTTTAGTAGTTTAATATTTACGTAGTTAAGACATTTGCAAATAGTTTCTTTAGTCCTCGAAAAAAATCAATGGCTTTTATTCACTTAAGAAACAAAATTAATTTCACCTATTTCCACTGAAGTAGTTTTTAAAAATTGCAACAAAGTTACAATTTCACCCCCACTACATCACATTCATTCATCACAGAGATAAATTCAAACCACAGAAAATTCACGCATTCACACGTGAATTCTCTCTCTCTCTCTCTCCCTTCCTCACTCTCTCTCTCCTTGTTTACTCCTTTATTCTCCCTCGGCCCTCCCACGATCTTTACTCTTCTCTTGGTTCGCGTCTCCAATAGTAAAAGCTCCAAGCAGTTTCTTAATTAACCAGGCTGGGTAGACAAGATGGAGCCCCGCCTCTTGGGCGGGGCCACAGCGGCGGGCCGAATCAGGCGCCTGCTGCGCCTCCTTTACCAACGATCCCTTTACTATCTTCAGAAGAGCGAAGCGCAGACGGCGAGCCAATCGGCGGCCGCGGTCCTCGGCGTCCGGAGCGGGGTAGCTCCGCCCACTCGCAACCTCCCGCGGGGGCCGTCCGAGCCTCGCGGGCTCCCGCAGGCCCCGCCTCGTGGGCAGGCGCGGCGGTCATTGGAGGGCGCTCGGCCGGCTGTCGCCGCGGTTGCTGGGAGAGGGAGGTGGGGGCGGGGCCCGCGGTGGTCCAAGGGGCCCGAGAGAAAGGCTGCTCGGCGCGGGCGGGCGGGCGCGCCGGGCGGACTCGAGCGTCTCGGCGGCGGTTTGCCTGGTAGCCCGCGCGGCGGCGTCGCGGTGCGGGCGCCGGTCCTCGCTGACAGCTCCGCGCCTTCCGGCCGCGCCACTCGGGAGGCGGCTTCCTCCCCGCGCTCCCTCCGCGAGTCCGCGCGGCCTCGAAGGAGAGCGCGAGGCGGCGGCAGCGGAGGTCGTCGGGGGCGGCGGGCGGTGAGCGCGCTCCCGCTTCCCCGGCGGCGGCCGCAGGACAATGGAGGTGGCTGTGGAGAAGGCGGCGGCGGCGGCCCCGGCCGGGGTCCCCGCAGCGGCGGCGCCGAGCGGGGAGAACGAGGCCGAGAGCCGGCAGGGCCCGGACTCGGAGAGCGGCGGCGAGGCGTCCCGGCTCAACCTGTTGGACACTTGCGCCGTGTGCCACCAGAACATCCAGAGCCGGGCGCCCAAACTGCTGCCCTGCCTGCACTCGTTCTGCCAGCGCTGCCTGCCCGCGCCCCAGCGCTACCTCATGCTGACGGCGCCCGCGCTCGGCTCGGCAGAGACCCCTCCACCCGCGCCCGCCCCCGCCCCCGGCTCCCCGGCCGGCGCTCCTTCGCCGTTCGCCACCCAAGGTGAGAGGGGCCCGCGAGGTGCGAGGTGGCGGGCGCCCGCCGCGCGGCCGGGGAGGGTCGAAGTGGGCCCGGGCCGGCCGAGCGACCCGGCGGTCCCTCACTTTTGCGGAGCTCTGACGGCCGTGGCGAGTTAGCTTCTGCCCGCTGCCTCCGCTAAGCTTTGTCCGGGTGCATAGGATCCGGATCAGCTCGTGTACACCCGGGTTATGCGAGCCGGAGAGGGGGAGGGAGGGATGGAGATGAAGTGATGGGGACTTTCTTTGATGATTGATTGCAGATTGTTTGCCGTCTGTTTCGAATCTTGTGCATTCGGGGCTCTTTACCTTAAAGAGTTTCCTCTCCTATTGCCCCTCCGTTGGGGACAAAGGAAACAGAAGAAAGAGTTTTGTTGTCTGCTACTGCTTTCCGAGATTTTATTTTGAACCACACGATAAAGAGTAGAAAGCAAATAGACTTGCGAAGTGTTTTGTACGCAGTAGTTGGAAGTTACTTTCTCTTGTGATGTTTCTAAGTAACTAGTTTTAGACAGGTAGTTTCCATTGCTTATGTTAACAGGTTTAAAGCATTTGAAGTGCAGTAATTATTTCTGGGAGAACGCCTGAAGTTTTTAACTTTTAATTCTGCAAATATTTGGGCAAATTGACGTCTTTTAAAAATACAAAGTAACTGAGGAAGAGAAATCTCTTTCTATTGCTTCGTGGTTTGTTGTGTGTGTATTTTGTTTGGCTGATGTAGCAACTTAGACTTGTCCACAGCTAGCAATCTTCCCGCCTCAGCCTCTTCAGAGTAAAAGATCACGGGCATGCGCCCTCACACCTGGTGGCCAGTCACTTAAACCATCTGTATTAAAGGGAATGATTGCCTTTAATTAATACGTTGAATAATTACAACAGGTCAGGATGTGATTGTTGGATTGTTCTCATAGACTCACTTAGCCTTATCTTAGACTAGTATTTAGTCATAGGGAACTACTTACTTTCCTTGGGTCTCTATTGTTACAGAGAGCCCACAGAGAGAGACTACTCAGGCATAGTCTGTATAGCCAAATGAAAGTCTTGTGTGTTTTTTGTTTGTTTGTTTGTTTTTTGTTTTTTGTTTTTTTTTTCCAGCCAGGTACTAAGGATGCCAATATAACCCAGTGGTTCTCAACCTGTGAGTTGCAACCCCTGGGGGGTGGGAGAATGACCCTTTCACAAGGGTCACATATCAGATATCCTGTATATCAGATATTCATATTACAATTCATAACTGTAGCTTAATTACAGTTATGAAGTAGCAAAGAAAATAAGTTTTTGGTTGGGGGTCACCACAACATAAGGAACTGTATTAAACAGCATTAGGAAGGTTGACAGCCCACTGCTCTAAACATTAGTGCAAGGGGATTTTAGAGGCAAAAGCCACATCCAGTTACCTTGCCTGGAAGATGAAAGCAGGAAGTTTTGTGCAAACATGTAGAGGAGTTTTAATCCACCAACATGGCTGCTCTGGCAAAGGATCACATCCAAAGTCCTTCTACGTCTGTGTGATCTGGCTGGAATACAGACACACCTTTAATCCCAAATGATGATGTTTAATTGAGGGGCAGACAAAGTGACAAATCAGAGAAAGATTTGACAGAATGAGTCAGAGATTGGATATGCCCAACTCTTATAATGGCAGAGAGGAAAGAGAGGCTACATAAGAGCAATGCAGGGAGAGAGAGAGTTAAGTTTGGTGCAGTTCAGTTGAGTTCGTGTAGTTCCAATGAGTTCTGTTCAGTTTTTGCAGTCAGTGCAGTTCAGTTTGTGGAGTTTTGAGGCAGTTTTTTCAAGTAGAGCAATTCAGTTAGAAGCTGACAGAAGCCAGTTTGAATCAGTCAGCTTGGAGAGGGATTTGAGCCAGAAGAGCTGAGTTGAACTAGCTAGCCAGAGTTCAGAAAGAGCTAAAAAGGACGAGTTTATTCACCAATAAGTCTCAGAGGCAGAAAACATTCTAGGCCTAGGTTAGCCGATAGGAGGCTGGGAGCTGAAGCCTTCAAGGCTTGAGCTTGCAGAAGATTAGATTCTACAGAGGTTAGAAGCTTCCAGGCCTAGGGCCTGGGGATAGTTAGATAGAAATGCTGTGGGTTCAGCCCAAGTCACGTATTCACGAAGCTTGGATATGGTGTTGTTTTTAAACAAAATCCCAAATGTTCAATTTTACCAATAAAGACTCAGGAGCTAGATGTTGATCTGAAAGCCTACAGCTTGGAGAGGCAGAGAAACCACCCAACTGACCTAACTCCGCATATGTCCCAGAAGGAAAAGCCTCTTCTCCATGTTGTCTTTTTAAAAACCCTTCAAACTGAATGTCCCTCCTTTCTACTTCCTGTGTGCTCTATCAGTTCTCTGGACTTCCTTTCACTCTCTGTGTTTTTTTCCTATATTCACTCCCTGTTAGCTGATCGTTTGCTCTGCCTCTTGACCTATAGTTGACTACTTTAATCCTGGTTACAGAAAGCTCTTGAATTAAAGGTGTGTACAAGGGCTGAACCACACCATAATTAGAAACAGGTTTTTCCAGTACATAATCTTGGGGGGTCACAGTGTTATCAAATACCCTGCAACAGTATGTCTCTCATCTCATCCTCTAATTGAAGAAATAAAAACATTTACACAAGCAAGCAGTTTAACAGAAGCCAAGATAAATTATGATTTGCTAGGGCAACTTGATCCCAAGTTCTTAGAATAGCGTTTGGTAATTTTCCACAATAATTGCTATTAAGGAGGCCAAACTCTAGTCAAACCTAAAATTGTCTCAGCCAAAGTATAAGATAATGGAACCTTTGCAGTCTTGCCCTTTCACGTTCCCTAATTGGTTCATGGGCAAGACAGAAATCATTGACTTGTACTGTTCTGAGGGTCATGGTTGATTCTGAGGACCAGAAGCCTAACTAAATTTTATTCTTTAGTTGATATATTAGCCATGCAGTTGAGGATCAGCCTCAACTGGATCAGAATAAAAATCAATAGTCAGGCTAATGGCAACTGTAAGGTGGTCAACCATGGAGACCTAAATTAATTATCTGATCTGTATCTCCTTCCCTTTCTTTGACGTTTTCCTTGACCGTAGCCAGGACTGCCTACTTAGCCTTAATTGGTTTACACAGAAACAGCAAGTTTCTCCTAAGGGCACAGAAACTCCTCTCTGTTTCATAAAAAAGGAGATCTAGTCTTCTTTTAGTTCTGCAGAACTACCTCTTGTACCCGCCTGCGCGACTAGTAATTCGTGGGGTCTTCGAAGAGGACCAGGCCTGAAAGAAAAACGGGCGAGAGAGAAGAACGGACTCAAGCAAATGTGCACTTGTCAAGAGTCAAATTTTATTGAACCGGAGCAGGCTTTTAAGGCCAACCTAAGATAGGGGCGGGGCGAGGGAGGAACACAGTGTAGAATCCTTTTTACTCAGGGAGGGGTAGGGTAGAAAAGCGCATTTAGAACCTTATTACTCAGGGAGGGGCAGGGTGGAAAAGCGCATTTAGAATCTTCTTACCCAGGAAGGGACAGGGTGGAAAAGCGTACTGTAGAATCTTCTTACTCAGGAAGGGGCAGGGTGGAAGTTACAAAATCTTCTTGGCCCGGGCATGGAATACTTTGCGGTTATTTTGAGACAGTTAGCACATTTCTCCAACTGTCAAGCAGGATGTTAGTCAGCCAGGTGCAGCAGGGTAGGGGGAATGAGAAAAGGTCGGAAGTTTCTCAGGGCTTGTCTCCAACAACCTCTGTGAGAGAATAAACTTGGCTCTCCAGCCTAGAAATAGCATTCACTAAATAGCCTAGGTCTGAATAACTGAGTTTCCTTTAGTTTTGATTCCCAAGAATCAAGGCTGAGGTGCCTGTAGTAGTTGCACAGGCTATTCCTGTCCCTACTAGAATCGGGGCCTGTTTGTCCTTTGACATTGGATCAAGGCCAGTATGAGTTCTTCCTCTCTTCCCCATTATAGGCATATATACCTACTGGGTAATTTTGAGTAGAGGTTTGACTTTCTAGTGAGTTGGAGGAGGCATGTTTTGTCAAATTGTTAGTACAAGCAAGCCAGGTAGCTTAAGGGGCATGATAAATAGGCGGTTTTGTTGGGCATTTGAGGAAACCTTATTGTAAGGTGAAGAAGCAAGATTATAATTTGGAGATAAGATGCAAGTACCTTGTCTGTGGCAGAACACTTATCATTGGCAGGGCATGCATAAAATTGTAATCTTGGAAGGCCTTTTTTTCTAGACAGTTTTCTTCATAAGCTGATTTATTGACCCTCGTTCCTCCTCTACACCCATATTGTTCCACCCCTGGGACGGACATAAGAGACTAAATATATATATAAGACCCAAAATATAGTTTCTCATCCCTGATTTTTCTGTGTTCCCATGTCCAGGTTTGGGACTGATGGGAATTGTGTATCCCAGGTTATTAGCCTCTGGTCACTCTTATTTTTATAGGGTCTGAGGACCAAGTGATGGTCCATCTTTTATCGTCCTCAGAGGCTCTGTTTATTGTTTTAGTTGGGAGTGATGACTCCAAGGGATGACACCAGCTACTTTGACAGCATTTGGAATGGTGAGGATGACTAGGTAGAGTCCCTTCCAGACAGGTTCCAGGGTCCAGGTAGGGATCCACTTTATCCAAACCAACTCTTTGGGCTGGAACTGGTGGGAGGGTTCAGAGGTAGGAGAGGGCAGGATTCTCTTCATAATCTGGTCAGTGGCCTGGCAAGTTCCTGCTAAGACTGAAAGGACTCGAGAAGTTTGGGGAGGATTGGAAGTGGTCCCCAAACATAATTTCAAAACCCAGTAATCACCTCCTGGTAAGGAGTACTTTGGGCTCTTAGTAGGATAAAGGGGAGTGGAGGAAGTTGGCCTAATTTTTACCACTTTCCAGGACCAATTTTGTCAGAGTTTCCTTAAGAGTTTTACGTATCTTTTTTTCCTGACCTGAGCACAATGCAATTTCCAATTAATACCTTTGTCAGAGTTAGTCAGAGTTTGAGACA